GTAAATTCGGGTCCCAAAATTATTACCACATTCTTACCAAAATTATTTTTTTAAAAAAAACTCATTTTCAACCTCACATTCTTCAATAAAATAATATTACACGTAAATTCAAAATTTTTCCTTATTTTTTAACTACACATTTTTCATCAAGTCAATATTTAAAATGCATTCCCCACTCAATAATGTTCATCGAACAGAGCCATAGTGAGTTCTTAAACCTTAGAAGTGAGGATTTGGATTCTAAACTTGTTTGAATATGTGAATTTAGATCTTCACTCCACATGATGAAAATTCTCAATTTATATGTTAAAATCGTAAATGACTTCCAACGAAATTGGAGATAAATGTTAAGTGATTTAACAATAACTTTACCTTCTAGTTGTGAGCAATGTGAAAGATGCGTGTGAATTCAACATCAACATAAAAGGTTTCGATCACTTGGAGGAGACCCTGATTCATCAATTTAAATACAATGGGGACTCAAAATCTCATTTTTAAAAGCAATGATCTATAACCACACCAAGTGAAAGGTTGGGGAGCCATCCATAAATTACCCCTTTTCCCCCAGAAATTCCTATGAGCCTGTTTGATAGGGATTTTTGAGGAAAGAATTGATTTTTGAATAGTGATATGATGGAAAATGTGTGATTGAAAAAGAAGAAAAAATTATTGATGTGATGGAAAATATTATTTTATTGAAGAATGTGTGGTTGAAAATGAGAATTGATTTATTGTAGAATCAAAAAATCAAAAACAAACACCCCCTACTATGTTACCTAGAAATTTGTTGAGTTATGACTAATAATTTGATAATTTGTGACATANCATTTTTTCTCTCCTTTCCAATTTGAGCGCAATATTTGGAACCCTTGTGAGAGAGCATACAGAGAAGTCTTTTGTAAAGGAACAAAAAATGAAATTCTTACACTAAAGAGTGTTCATTTTTTTTATCCTGTTTGATGTCAATTCTACTATAGATTCTCTCTTCCACTGGCTGTTTTTATTCTCGATAATCTTATCCCTTCTCTTCAATTCACTCAATAATTTTGCTTTTTTACGACAGTTATAAAGATTCTTGAAATACATTTAATTTCATAAAATACACGGAGAGAATCCTTTGTGATTTGTGGTGGAGTGATGTCAGATTTCAAGTTCTGCTTTATTGCGTACTGAATTGTGTATGTAATTATAGGTATACATTTAATGCAGGTGTATAATTTAGTTTCTTGATGAAGGGTTTCATCAGGAACAATCAAATTCTTGATTTTGAACTATAAATTTCAAGAATTGTTAGGGACCTTTTTAACAATTTTTTTACTCCTCGTGAGCTACACAGATTTTTTTCTTTGTTTTTCATCGTCTTGAATTCTGCGGAGACTATTTATAGTATTATGCCTATTCCCCATAGCACTCGTAGCTCTCATACCGAGGGTCAATCACACTAAATCTGTTTGTTTGCTTTGCTCGTTTCCTGATTTCATTCAGCTTATAATGGCTCTCGTAAGAAGGGAATAGGACTTGGTGTGTAAAACTTTCTCGGGAAATTCTTCAGTTTTTTGTGTAGTATAATGAATCAGCAGCAGCAGCAGCAGCAGCAGCAAGAACAGATGAGCTCTGGCCTTACACGATATAAATCTGCACCAAGTTCTTATTTTGCTAGCCTTTTTACCAGTGATGATGGATTTGGAGGAGATGATTTTGATAATATTTTCAACCCCCGGGCTTCAAGTCCTGAGAGAAATCGCGTTTTTGCAAGTTTCATGGATAGTGTCGATACCATTGATCAGAACTACTCATCCAATATGAGTATTCAGTCCCAATCACAACCACAGTTTGTGCAATCTGTTAAGCATGAAACTGTTGATCAGCAACTACAGAGACACGGCAGCAATGATTTTTCTGCGGTTTCTCATATGGTGTATCAAAGCCAACCTCAGCAGGGTTATAATTCAGAGGCTGCAACTTCTGCTATGGATGATTCTTTTGGTAGATCTTCGAGTTCAATCAATTCAGATCGTGTAAATCAGATGAAGTTTAATGGTGGGAGTACGAATCTCATTCGACATAGCAGTTCCCCTGCTGGATTTTTCTCTAAAATAAATATCGAAAATGGTAAACTTCCTAATCTTACTTAATTCAGTTCGAGGAATTTCTTGCATTCTTTAAATATCTTTTATTCTGATTAGTATCAAATAATCTATAACACAGTACCCCTTTTATTCTTTCACTTCCATTTAAGTGTAAAAATGTACACAGACGAGATGGACAAGGTTGGTTGTCTGAGAAATACAAGGAAAAATGAATGGTTTTGAGAATTTTAATATGTGATGTGATGAAAGAGCTTGAGAATGTTACTTGAGAATTTTTAGTGATTCACAGAGTTTGATGCAATGAGAGGTGTGGGGAATTTCGGAGCTGGGATTAGTACTAATGCAGAAGCACCAATGTTATCGTTTAAGAGTCCAATGAATTTCTCATCCGGGAACCCTTCTTCTTCGGAGATGATGAACCCCATCGATGAAATGGGATGCAAAACGAGTCTGGGGAAAGGACATTTGGAGGAAGATGGCAATGACAATGGTGGTTACACCACAAGTTTCCCAGCTATAACCCCTTGGGATGATGACAATAATATGTTCTCCAATGTATCAAATAATCAGGTGATGTTTTTATTATCCTTACATATTATTTTCAGCTTATTTTAATCTGATTATAAGTTATTTTCTTGATCAGAATACTGATGATCAAATCCGTCATACAATTCCTTTGTCTCATCACTTAAGTTTACCTAAGAATTCTGCACTATTATCCGAAATGTTATTGCAAGATTCAGTACCCTGCAAGGTTAGAGCAAAACGAGGTTTTGCTACTCATCCCCGGAGCATTGCTGAAAGGGTAAAATCGCTCTACACGCCGAACATCCAGTTCTCTTATCATGTACGTTTTGATGGTTATGCATTTTTTAATTTGAGGATTTTGATATTATTTCAGGTGAGACGGACTCGAATAAGTGAACGAATAAGGAAGCTACAAGAACTCGTTCCCAATATGGAAAAGGTATATCCACTGCTTAAACATCGGTTTTATTTCTTCCTTTTCTTCATTTCTGACAAGTTAAGGTTGGACTTAATTGATGCAGCAAACAAGCACATCAGACATGTTGGATTTGGCCGTTGATTACATTAAAGATCTTCAAATGCAATTAAAGGTACATCCTAAGAGTCTTACATTACAATTTTATCCAACTTTTTGGTCTTTCGGGGGTCTTTAACTCTTCATCTGTTCTTTGAACTTTTCAGATGCTTTCAGACAATCGAGCAAAGTGTACTTGCTCAACTGAGCGAAAGACAGAGATCAAAAGTCCCCAAAGGTAGGATATGTTTCTCGACAGTAAAATAATCAAAAGGAAAGGTAATGGATGGTGGAAACTTTGCTTCAATTTGGAGATGGATCGAAAAATCCATTATTGATGCCCCACATAAAGCTAAATGTACATATATCCAACACTTTTGTTGTAAACAGTAAGTGCATGATTGCTCCACATGATTGAACTGTATAATGATTAAGATTTGAACTTTTTTTTTTCTTGATTATAATTCAAACGGAATTCAGCTTGATATACTTTAAGAGAAAGTAATCAAGATCCTTGGATTCGGATTTACTAATGAAAAAGAAAGGAGACGGGATCCTTTCTGAAATCAATCAGTTGATTTTCCTTTGCTATGTTTCTAAGTTTCTTGACACCATTTTGATGCTATCACGACGTTCATGTCACCTTGCCAAGTCAACACTGTCGCTTTGATATTAAGTCGATTGTGCAGTGCACACCATGCATGGCTTTTGCCTCCTCGAGTGCACGCCAAATTCATTTATCATGAAAGTTCGGATACATGCACAATTTATATAAATGGTCGATAGCAAAATTTGAACTTAAAAACCTTTTTTATTTATATACCACGACAAAACTTCATAACAAAAAAGAACATATCTCTTCAGAAGGCGCACTTGCATTTTCGGCCTCACATTTGGATAGTGATAACAGCATTTCTCAATTTTGGTGGATTCTGAGTCACAAAAAGCCTGAAAATGCCTTCTCTAATTCTAATATGCAAATGAAAAAAGGGGTTCATGAAAGCCAGAAATGTGTATGCTCTTCTTGTGGACATAAAGAAAAGCAAAGAAAAAGAAATTTATGCTCTCCACGCCTGCACGAGCTTTTCTTAATTTTTTATTCTTTCTATTTTTCTCAAAATCAACTAAAAGATTTCAAACTCTTGGTGTAGATTAGAATCGGAATTTTAGTAGATTTTAATAAAAGTTGATGAAATATTTGGTTGAAAAGTTATGAATTCCATAAAATGTATAGTTGAAATTAATTATTAACTTTAATTTGAGATTTTAATCTACACAAATGTACTCGAAGCAAAAATTTAGGACATGTTCTCTTTGATGTTTTCAGGTCATTTTCAATTTTCAGTTTTCGAATACATTGAAAACATGTTTATTTACCTATTTTCAGAAACGAATTTTCAAAAACGAGTTTAAAATTTATAAAGAAAACGGAAAACGCCAAAAAAAGTCGTTTTGACTGTTTTCAGTTAAAATCAAATCAAAACTTCCTTTTTTTTTTTTTTTGAAAATAATTTTTCAAAATGACAAAAAGAACGCGTTTTCAGCAATTTTAAAATGGACATTCAAAACACAAAATTCAAAATGAATTCAAAACTCAAAACAAAAAATTGAAATACAAATAAAACAACCATTTACTTTCCAAGCCTTGTGTACCATTTCTTCTGGTTAACCAAATCCATTACTTGAATTTACATAGGATCTGCTTTGTCATTCTTTATCTTGACAGAATTTTTTTTATTTTTTTTTTATAAAATAGTTTTATATCCTTACCAAAATTTAAAGATCTTTATTTGAATTACCCGTATACTGTCATCTCCACATTTATTTAATAGGACAAAATTAAGTGCTTCTTTGATAAAGATTTTTTGAGAATTATTCTTCTGATGACGTGATCAAATGAATTGTTTTTGAAAATATATAATTAAAAATGAGTGTGAGAGACAAGTAATTTTCAAATAGACAAAATAGAACGAGGGTTAAATATGGTGTATGTGAGATGTTTCGTAAAAATTAATTATTAACTTTAATTTGAGATTCTAATCTACACAAATGTACTCGAAGCAAAAACTTAAGACCTGTTCTCTTTGCTATTTTCAAACCATTTTCAGTTTTCAATTTTCGAAAATATTGAAAACATGTTTACTTACTTATTTTCAAAAACGAATTTCCAAAAACGAGTTTAAAATTTACAAAGAAAACGGAAAATACCAAAAAAATCGTTTTGGCTGTTTTCAATTAAAACCAAACCAAAACTTTATTTTTTATTTTTCAAAATGACAAAAAGAACGCGTTTTCAGTAATCTAAAAATGGACACTCAAAACACAAAACAAACACTAAAAATTGAAATATGAAGAGAACAATCCCTTACTTTCCAAGCATTGTTGACGCCGGGCAGAATAGTGATTATTCTGTAAGTTGGAATCAATAGACAATAACAGAGAAGAACGCCAGAGAATAACAACAAGAAAAACGAAAGAAAATCTTTATTATTCAACAACTGAACGAAAATAACCCATAAGCCGGGTTAAATAGCTAGAAAATAATAATTTTAGAAATTTTACCAAAAATAGCAAAATTCTATTATTCACACCAAAAGGAAATACTTAATGACGGAAATAAGATCCCAAAAATCTGGCTTAATTTGAAATCGTAATTTATGTCAAAAAGGAAATTGAAACAACTGAATTTGGCCTCGAAACTGATGCACAGCTCAGTGACCACGACGTGCGCGTCGAAATGAGCTTTCTGAATTGGGGTTATGGGCGTGATTCTGACAACCGTGGCCAAAGTTATGGCCAAAATACCGAAACGTGTCCAAAAGGACCTCAATTAGGAAAGATCAATGATTATTTGCCAATTTTGCGCTGATCCGCGAACTCATGGTATCTCAACGTCATTAACGTACTATCAGACAGCTCAATCTCGTCTGACTCGAATCCTCCTACATCACTTGTATACCATTTCTTTCGGTTAACCAAGTCTATTACTTGAATTTACATAGGATCTGCTTTGTCATTCTTTATTTTGACAGAAAATAATTTTTTTAATTTTATAAAATCGTTATATATCCTTACCAAAATTTAAAGATCTTTATTTGAATTACCCATATACTGTCATCTCCACATTAATTTAATACGACAAAATTAAGTGCTTCTTTGATAAAGATTTTTTGAGAATTATTCTTCTGATGACGTGATCAAATGAATTGTTTTTTGAAAATATATAATTAAAAATGAGTGTGAGAGACAAGTAATTTTCAAATAGACAAAATAAAACGAGGGTTAAATATGGTGTATGTGAGATGTTTCGTAAAAATTATAATCTCACTATGTTTTCGACCTCAATATGATTTCAAGTAGATCCTTGAACCTTAAGTTGATTCTTGAACCTTTGACCATTTACCTTCTTTGGACAGATATCCATACTGCCTTTTAAAATATTAATACCAAGTACTGACTCCTAAAAATGATATTTTCTCTGAAACCTGAGTTCCATACGCAATCCAACTTCAAGGGTTAATTTCAATTGTTATCATTAAAGTTTATGTTGGAGTTATAACTTGGACCTCATTAAAGAAAGAATAAATAAATCGTCCTGCTAATTCTTAATCACTAGGGTCGGAAGCAATAGCCTTGAGATCGGCTCGGGTAAGGCCGCAGTTGTCCATAGAGACATAATGATGTCCGAATCCCTGCCACTACTGTCACTGACGTCTCTTCACTCACCAATCTTGGATTGACACTTGGTAACTTCGACCACCTCTCGTTCAACCAATCAACCACGAGTAATGATTATGTGATATCATGCCACCATTGCCTAATGAGCCAATCACATCCTCAATCTAATAATGACCTAGTGAGGCCAACCTCAACTACCAAAACTTGGATAAGTGGCATACATTTCTATGACGATATTGTAGATGACAAGACTAAAATCGATCGTTCTCCCTGTAAATAGGAAGAATTTGTCCCCCCTTTGAGAGAGCTCTAATCCACCACTGCAATACCATATTTCCTCAAATACTTTCTCATGACACATAAATCATGCAATTCACTTCATTATCCTCGACAATAAACTTTTCTTTTCACCTCTAAGTTGATCGAGAAATTAATTTACATTGTTTGATATCGACACTTTACATAATATCTCAATTAGGTCACTAAAATTTAATTTGTCTCAAATTTTGGATCGTTGAACTTTAATTTAATTTGAAATTAACTATTATGTACCCCGCAGGCTCTCAAATGAATGGAAAATTTCTCAATTGGCAGCTATACCACATCCAATTTTCTACTTAATTGCTACGTAGCATGACAATTACCACTACTTTGTAAAAGTGTTAAAAAAGAACACATCTTTTTTCCTTTTAATCTAAAGTCATTACCACAATCTTTATTTTATCATTTTCATTATTTAGCGTGCCACATAGCTATTACGTTGAATAGCAGTTAGATATGGTTGCCAAGTGTCAACTAATTAATCAATTTCCACCAATTTGAGTATGATAGGTGAAAGAGTTTGATAAAGTGGTAAAATTTGAAGCTAAATTAATGTGACCAACTTTAGATAAAGTAAAGTTTAGTGATCCAATTGAAATTTTATCAAAGTTCAGTGATCGAGGATGAAATTTACCTAACTTCCAATCATTTTCCTCCTGCATTCTTGACCTTTCAGGTACACCTTTTTAACCTAAGTTCTCACCATTGTTTTGTCTCTGCCTCGTTTAATATATCTCCACACATGTCTGTATATGTGTGTATATATAGCTGAAAGAAGTTGTAAAAAAGGCCAATGGATCTCTTATCGTCTTCATCAGACGGCTCTCGGTCTTCATCATCAAGCTCAACAAAATCTACAGTTCTTTCCATACAGTGCTTAAAGGGATGTTCAAAGGCAGATGAATGGGCAGGCAACATGTTACTGACAGGAGACATAGTAGAGGAGTTAAGGATTGGAAAAATGATAGTAACATCTCCTTTTAAGAATGGAAAATCTGGTGTTCACAAGATTCTGCACAATTCTTTCAAGGCTAAGGAGACTTCGATCCGTGTTCGAGTCAGGCGTGGCTCAGACGAGTTTACTGAGCTTCTGGCCTGTATTATGCCTGTTAATGAGTTTGTTGGGAAAAAAGGATACATGTTGAGGTCCATTGATGATCCGAATTATGCTGTTGGGTTCTTTGATCGGACGGAGAAAGAGTGCCTCGAATTGCAAGGTAAATTTCTAGGATTGGCTTTTCTTTGACTTTGAACATACTGAATGCATAGAAGGACAACATTATTTACGAGTTTGATGCGCTCGACTCGATATTATTTTTAACAATTTATATCATCATGTCTCTCTTTCTTAATCCCCGCACATTCAAAGAATCGATTTTCTTTTTTTGGTGGGATTTTGCTTTTTAGGATTTTGTCCGATGGTGTTTCATTTTAATGTTTAATACTACGATAAAATCTTGAATATGAGATGCATTTTGGCCAATTGTCCCTTTTTCTTGATATAAGTATAGATGTATCCATATAAGAAAAACATTGAAAGAAGTAAATTTCATGTATAAAATGTAGCTAGGTTTAGGTAAATCAAAGTGATTTTAGTTACAAATTTTAGGCTGATGGCCGGGAGCTAGAGGGTAACTAGTCGACAGACACGCTTTCTAAACCACCTGGTAAGAGAGAGGTTTGTGATTCCCATTTTAAGTAGTTAGCACGCCTTGTCAATATCAAGTGGGGGAGGAGGAGAAAGACTTCCCCCCTTGTTTGGCCATCGTTCATAAATTGTACCCTATCAACATGTAAGAAAATTTAATGCACCTATAATTTTAGGTATTGGTCTAATTTTCACATTATAATCGAACTATTCTAATCACAATTTTTGAGAGTAAATTCTACTATTGTAGTTGATGATGGTGGTGTGTTGAAATAAACGTGAAATAAGTTAATTGGGTTGGAAGACTGAGAATCTGAGATAATTTGACTCCAATTTATAGTACATATTCAAAGGTGACAAGTTAATAGGGTTGAAATTAAGCTAGTAAAAAAATATGGATTTTTTCAATTTTCAACTTTTTTTAAGTCTTATTGGTAGGATTTCTCTACTTATCTTTATGTGTGTGTCACTTTCCTTTAAGTTTCCTCCACCGTCATTGTCGCCGCCATTGTACACGTTTTCCTGAAAGTCAACTTCTTTTTATTTATTTTTTCGGTCGGGAGTTGTTAAGAGCAACTAATGGCGGATTTTTATTACACCGCATTTAACTAAATATGACCCCTTATCTATCATGTTCCGTTGCTTATGACATCTATATGTTGTTTTAATACTATGTTGGACTATTAAGTACATGTTTAGTTAATAAGTAAATTAAAATCCAAGTGATTATAATTGAAATGATTTAACTAAGTTTGAACATAAAATTAATTACTTATCCTTTCAGCTTCAAGGACCTCAAGCATAGTGAGTGCATTAGAAAAAAACCCACTTCAAGATGGATATGTCCCTTATCCATGGACAAGAAAAATGCAAGAAACGCTGTCAATTCCCAATTCCAGCAGCTTTTATTCAATCCTGGTACTACCAAAATCTTCAGACAGAATTGGTTCCAGGTACAATGATTTGGAGGACACACTTGCAAGAGCACATGCATGGATTAATGCATCTCAGGCATCAGGTGCCCCCATTCTCTTCATGAATATTCAAACTGAGTCCCTTCTTACCAAGGTAAGTTCCTACTTTAATTTAAAACTTATAAGTTAGAGATCCAAAATAAGTATCCATAGTGAAATAATTAATACAGGTTTGGCTTTCGTTTTGGTTGGTAGATATCAGGAGAGACTGCTTCTTCAACTGTAAATGCTGGGTCACTTTCTGATTTATCAGACATAGCAAACACAAGTTTATATGGTTTTGAAGATTACCACGGGGTCGACATTGGCGTCGTAAGGGCAGTTCGTCTCTGGTTTTCGTCGCTTGCTGGAGAAATTCCAGTTGAGATCAAAATTAAAGACACTGATACAAAGCTTGGTTTTTCCATCAGTAGAACAGAAGAGGTACATACATATCCACCTATCTTCCTATTCCATAATCATCTTCAACACGTGTTTCACATGCCTATGTGCAAACTTGCTTAAGTGAGTTCGAATGTAAATATTTGTCCACCATTCATTTCTATCTATTTATAAGTTAAACCGTTATAAACCCTTCTCAAACATGCTTGGGTGAGTTCATTTGTAAATGTTTCTGATTTCATATACTTGTTATCGCTTTTGCGTTTAAATCCGTCGATTGCGCAGGGGTTCATTTACATATCTTCAGTCATCCAAGGGGACGAGGACGCACCTTCATCCCGATCCAGACTCAGAAATCTGTACCACCAGTCACTTGGGGCATCAAGAATCCTAGTTGTCTCAAGAATATCCAATCAAAAAATCCTACCATGGATGGTATCTCCAGCGGGAGCAATCCGGTGTTACGACACAGTATCTCTCAGTCAAAAGCTCTCTTTGCATAAGCACACCAAGGTGCCTATTCTGATGCATGTGTTCCTATGGGACCGGTCCATTACGCACAGAGACATCTCCACCAATCCTACTCCATCAACACCTGAAAATGATAATCGGGTGCTTCCAATATTGCCTGATTATTCAAATGAGAGTACTGGATCAGATATTATGCATGAAAGGGATAGTGCAGGAGAATGCTCCTTCCGATTCCAAGTTTTTGCTCTTAAAAGCAACTAGGTTTGAAAATAAAAATTTTAAAAATCTTTAGGTAATTTTGTATATTTCATTATATGATTTCTGATTTGTCTTTAGATGATGTTGATGTACGTAGGACAGGCAGAATATTCCTGTATAATTGTGATCAAATTGTTGTAGGCATTGTTTTTAACAGAAACTAAAAATATGTGCTATGCTAGTATTAAAAAAGAACAATCATGCGATAAGTACAGACAAATATGACATAAAATGTTGTGGTAATTGGGGCAAATGGTCCATTTCATAATATAGTTTGGGATTTTAGCCTTTGACCACAATTAATGATTTAAAATAAATATTTTAATTCAAAATTAATAGATTACCTAAATTACCCATATTACATCA